GATGAGATATGAGGGGCTTGGAGGACAAGGCGCATAAGTGCGGATTTTGCTATTTCGAGAAATGGATGTTTGAAGTTTCGAAATTACATGGATCCTCATAGCAGAAAGAAAGTTCAAACTAACTTTTTTGATGCTTAAAAATTGGAATTTGAGAGCGAATTTTTCACAGATTATGCATCAAGACTAGTTTCAGACTAGTTGAAATCGTAAATATCTCAATTTTTTAAAAAAAACTACACTTATGCGCCTTAATTGTCTTCTAAGACCCTCATATATTCTTTTTATCGAAGAGTATATCGACGGCGTAAGTCCGCAATCACATATCTCGTTTGCCGTATCTGAAAATCTCCACCTCTATGTTATTTTTTTAAAGGAGAAAAAATTGACATCATTCCTTGAAGTTTATGCAGAATTTTCCTCGCGCAGAGAGGAAAAATCACGCCAGTTTTAAAAAAATTGCCGCTGAGTAGTTTTCCGTTTAAAAAATAAAGTATAACAGGAAGTCTGCTACGTCGCAAACCGAGTTATGTGATTCCCGACTTACACCGTCGATATATGGAATTACTCCAGCATGAAAAGGTAGTTGAAAATGATAAAAATAATCCGGAAAATTTTGAATGATCCCATTAATTTTTGAAACACGAAGATCTAAATTTTTTTTAGAAAGAAGATTCCGCTGTAAGGTATAATGCTCTCAAGCTTCATCATCGGTGCATTCCTTTTTCCCCCCTTTCCGAAAATAAGGGAAAAGGGACCACACGCCAAACCACTTCCGCCGTATGCCCGCCGCATCTAATAAAAATCGATGAGGTTTTAACTTACTGAGGGCTCAGGGCTTCAGATGAATCGTGACCAAATACATGCACAAGTATAAATGCTACCAGCGGCGTGGCGTGCTATGCGATATATCGATCGATCTGCTATAAACCTACGAAAAAGGATCGATAGACAGGGTGTTCGCAACAAACACCTCAATAATCGATCCTTTACTGCAGCTTTAAATGGGGAAATATTGCTAATCGATCGTTCACGCCTCGCCACTGAATGTTACTCAAATAGTAAAATGAACCAAAAAGTCACGCGGAGATAAAAGATTAGTTGCTCTTACAATGCTGATGGTGAGGGTGAATCAAGGTCTTATCTACATCTCTAGTTGTAGCTACGATGTTACTTCCGCATGGTAACAATTTTTTTCGGTTCCGGTAACAATGTTGACCAAGGCGGCATGGATTTTCAAGTATAAACCATTTGCCGAGCGTTACTACCAAGTGCCAACGGACACAATAGTTAGTAAAATTGCGGGATAACGATAAGTAATAGGATACATCAAGGAAGTATGAAAATTAAAAGCTAGTCAAGTTCGTTAGACCTTGTAAGGCATTCGATGAATCTTATAATCGTTTGCATTGGCTATCAAATTCATCTAGCAATTAAAACTGATAAACACTGTTGCCGGATGTATATACATTTTTGCTCCTGGGACATCGATGGATTCAGCCCCTGGTAAAAATTGGCGATAGGAGCTGCGTTTCAAAATACCATAGGAGTTCTTATAGCCGACTAAAGAAGGCTATTGAAAATCATATAGCTGGCTGTAGAAATCGGAGCAAATCATACAGCCGGGCTATACGAAGATGTAAAAAAGTATACAGTCGGGCTATAGTTCCTATCGCCGGGCTTTACACTTTATCGCCATTGGCTATAAAAGGCTATAGGAAATTGTGTAGAAATTCGTGTGCTTTGGAAATCATTAAGTTTGATACGGAACTACCTTAATATTTACAAAACACACATTATATTTTCCTTTAAAACATATTTTTTTTTATCAGTTAAAATGAGAATAATCCATTCAGAGTGTGCAAACATTTCAAAATCATGAGTTGAAAAACACTGACTCCGCGAGATTAAATATTAGAGCCTAACACAAACGGAACGGCGACGCACTGGTGCCTACAAACCTGACAGGGATACTTCACGCATCACGCAAACGCGCATTGACGCCTACAAACCTAACAGGGATACTTCACGCATTGCGTAAACGTGCATTGACGCCTACAAACCTAACAGGGATACTTCACGCATTGCGCAATGCGTGAAGTATCCCTGTTAGGTTTGTAGGCGCCAATGCGCGTTTCGGGCTCTCTGCCCGCCTCGTCCCTCCGCAGCGTGCCACGGCGTCTGAAGCAACTATTTCACACCAGAGGTATTACACAGTATCATAAGAAATTGAAGGCGCTCCAACATATTAAGAATGACAAACATCCTTCAAAAGTACGGAGCTTTCCTCGCAAAATAAATCAAGATACTACGGCACAAAAGTAGTCCAAAAACTAACTAAGTCCTAGTATCCGTAATTTAGTAACGTTTAGCATGAACTTTATCGTCTGGCTGTTGTTTAATCGCCATCGGCTATGAACGGCTATCAGAAATTGTATAGCCTGCTACAGAAGCTATTGGAAATCTTACAGCCGGCTTTAGGTCTATAGTATTTTGGAACACACATTCTACTGCCAATTTTTACCAGGGGCTGTCAGGGGTGCGCCCGAAAGCAACCAAGTGTAGGGATTAAAACGTTTGTCAGATATTGCGCAACTATTTACAATTGATGGGATGGAAAAAAAAATTAAAAAAAAAGATAAAACAGGTTTGCATCTTTCAATTGGCAACACTGGTAATCATATCTCAAAATTTCCTTGGCTGAGGGGCTATAATTGAATAGATTTCATCGTAGCGATCAAGCGATCAAGCATCTCTGTTCCAACAATAGTGTCTGCGTCCACGACAATTGAACCTTGAAAACCACATTGAACAGAATGTGCGCGTGCAATGGCGATTTCTCCAAGACACTTGAAAAATATTACTTCCCTGTAGAAATATGGGGTGGCTTTACTATTTTCATGATATTTATTTATATGTAATTCAATTTGTCTTAGAGGTATGATGAATAGAAAAATAGGGCAGACAACAGACATCAAAAACGTCGGATTGGAGTTCAAAATAATAATTCATCATTGTTGTGTGAGATTTATAGACATAACATGATGCACATCAAAGCACAGGGTGTCTCTTTGAAGTTTTCTTCCAGTAGATAACTATAAGTATGGGCAGATGATTGCTGCACGGAGATTTATTTCTAGCCTACCTCAGAAATTGAAGGAGACCAACAATATAGTATACAATGTGTAACCTCGTCACCTCTGCTTCTTTTAAATTTTCAGTCCGAAAACGCTACGATATTGTTGCTGCACAAAGAATGTCTCGTGGCCTACCTTGAAAATTGAAGGCGACGTATAGCAACGTGCGTCTCCTCCATACACCCATTGGTGTCAATTCTGGTTCTTCTTAATTTTGTACTAATGCCAAAGCTCATAGAAATGGTAAAATTCATAGGTATCCGTGTTTAATACAATTTTTCGCGAACATTGAACACTTTGAAAATCCTAGTATCTATATTCTTTGGCAGGCGAGCAAAATTAGCTCTTAAAGTAATGAGCATGCGAAAATGGCTGTATTCGAATGGTTCATCTCTTAAATGGTTGACGTAATCGTTTTTGTTTTGACTATTCAGCCTCCTGGACATAGGTCGTTTTGATTGATACCTGAAGGATGCTCTTGAATACATTCTTGTATTTTTCGAAGAGAAACCAGTCAATTATAAAGTTTGAAAATTCTGAGGAATGTTCTGCCAACAGATGAGAAAAATCAAGGAAGTTTTCAAGAAATTAAGTTGACTAGCTTTCCAATAAAAAAAATAAAGTATGACACAAAGTCTGCAACGTCGCTAACAGAGACCATCGGCCGTTGGCCATGGCCATCGGTATAATACTCTTTCTTAAATTGTGTCGCCCCTTCCCCGCCTGGCGGGGGCTACAAGGGAGATAGTTACGCCACTATTTTGAGTGTACATGCGAGAATGTTTCCAACAAGTTTAATATGCGTATCCGCACAGTGATAAACATAATTGAATTCTAACCTTAGATTAGATATAATCTCATTAAAACTTAAGTGAACTCACATCGTACCTCCAAAATACAAACTCTCAATTTTTTATGTGGCCTCTAAAATTTAAATTTGGTTTCTTTCATTTGTACAGGAATACACACCACCGAAAACATGTTCATGTTCTTCACCCGTTAATTTTCAGTACTCTTGGAAATTCAAAACCTGGAAAACTATAGGTATCAAGTTTCAAGTGTTGCGAGGATCGTGCAAATGTTCCTATCAGTTAACAGGAAACCAATGGCCTAAGAGTAACAATTCTTTTTCATAAAACGGTGTGACATTGGGGGGAAGATACTGTGGAAAGCAGAAGTGTCATTCGCCCCCCCCCCCCCCCCCCCCNTGTCGTATGAAAATCTCAGTAGGGAGTTATTTCAGTTGATTTTGATCAATTCTTTTACATTTTTTTAGATTTTCTCAGGATTTGCCCCCTCGAGTATTTTGACTCTTTTCAACAACTTCTGCTCCCCCTTCCCTTACACGTGCCTGAAACGACGCACTGTTGATCGAGTTAATGGGAGAGGTCGGACAAAATTTGGAAACTTTAAACGCTTTTAACTCCGTTCATACAAAACTTTGAGGTTTTAAAAGTGGTTCCATTGGTTTTCCGGTGAAATTTTCTTCTAGAAGCACCCCTTAGAATTCAAAATTTAACAAATAAACATCTAAATTTGCAATTTTAATTAAAAATTTCATGACCGACCTCTCTGATTGACTCGATCCACTGGACGACGTTCCCGGAAGCTCGACACAAATTTCACGTGAATTTTTAAAAAAATTTCTCGTGAATTGTTGATGAATTTCACGTGAAAAGTTTTCAAAAACAATTTTCGCGTAAATTTAAAAAAAAAAATCGGAAAGCGAAGGCATTTTGGTTCGCAGTGAGAAGCACCAAACACGGTGGCGTTAACCAGGTTTTGGCTACTTTCCTCGCATCGTGGTGACAAACCTGTCACTGGGAACAATAGCGACGTAGAAGATAGAAGGTTAAATTGACTTACGGGCTTAATCGCTCGGTCGTTCCCCGTTTCCATGGACATGCTTTTCGACTTGAACGGCATGAACTTCGAGAACATGGCTCATCTCAGGACAACCTGATCACAGCGAGACAAAACCCAAATGCACCGGGATTTTTGCGAAAAGTGCGCGAAAAAGTGGCTTGCGGGGCACTGCTTTCCACGTATTTGGTCGAAAATCGTCGCCATTCGGGACGGGACGAGCCGTGTGTCGGTTTGACGGTGTCGGTGTCATACCCCCCGATGACGCCAGACTGCGCTGCTGGCGCCGAATCCCGCGGTTGAATAAGAGACATGACGGTGCGATGTGACACCTGGGGCGCTGTTCCCTGATAAATGCAGGTACACGCGACCCCCCCCCCCCCCCCNTCTGCCACGCACATTTTTTGCTCTTGTCTAGCGAAACAGGAATACATGGTTGACTTGCCTCTTACATTAACAACCGTATTCATAATTACTCCTGAAACAGTTTCTCCCCTGGGGAAGGTTTGGCGAGCTTACATTTGGTGCTTCGGAAGGGCATCTACAGAAATTTTTCGCATCGAATCATAAGAGGGACAATGTAACGAAATTTGGGTAAAGTTCAATTAAAATGTCGCGTGAATAGATCCTTGCAGAGCATTTACTAATTATTTTCCATCGGATATACAGGTCAACACTTATAAGACAATTTTGATTTTGAAGACTCGCGAAGTAGCCACAGACTCCCCTTGAAATCTGATGAAACTGTTTTCATCACAAAAATCACAAAAACATTTTTGGTGCATTGCCCGTAGATTATTTACTGATTTTTTACTGGTAGGTTTTGATGTTTCCGGTGGGAAATTTTTTGAATCCTCTGCATAAATTTTAAATATCCCCCTGCAAGTTCATTCAGTTGAATTTTAACCGATAGTTTTTCAAAATTGTTCTTCAGTGATAAGTTTGAAAATGCCTCAAACCTCCGCCCCCAATCACAAAATGAAACTAAATGGGAAGAAACTGTATGAGGTATGACTATCATGGGTCACTTTGTCTTTAGGTGTCGACATTGTTACTCCTTCAGTTGGGTGTGGGTAAACACAAGGGGGCAATAATTAAGTCGCACACAACGTAATCTGAACGATATGTTTTCTATTTATTATCCTTTTTTATTTATGTATTTATTTTTTATTTTTTTGCATTGCGAGTCAAACAAAAGTCCGCATCCTACGAATGAATCACATAACTGGCAGTATATTTATCCTACTAAAAGGACTAGAGACGGATAGGACAGAAATGGGGTGTGCATGGTAAAAGCTGCATAAGAAGCACTGTAAAAGTGGGCGTGATTCCTTTCACCAAAATAGATAAGTGGGAATTTATATATTAAATTATAATGGACTAAGCACCAAAGTATGGTATAACTCATGAGCCGTGGGCGTGTGACAAGAGCGTTGATGACAGGGCTCATGAATTAAAGATGCCCGACCGTCGTCGACGCTGACGTCACTGGTGCTCTATAATTCCCATTCATTCTTACGGCCCTTAACTAACTAGCATACTCTTTCTTTCCCAACCGTCTCTGGTTTCTGTACGTATGAATAAGTCCAATTGTAGAAATATTTTCCTTTTCCCCTTTTGATTTTTTTTTCAAAATTTAGCCGAATAATTTGTTCTCCCTTGGTTATTTTTTGTATAAAAGTAACAGCGTTAGGTACGGAAAGCTTGAACGTCCCCGAATAAAGATTACGAAGTCGAAAATGTTGTACGCAGGATGTGTGACGATCACAGAGAATTGCACATCTAATGGACTTGGCAACACCGATCTGTATACGTGCGTCAAATGGTATTTTTTATCTCACCTGAAAAACAAAACTTGAAAATGGATTTTTCTTCTACTTTTTTAGAGAATTTTTTATTTGCGTCGATAATATTTCAGAGGAAAAAGTGCTTAAATTTACGTTGAAGATTTTCTTTCTGAATTTTTTTTTTTTTTTGGGGGGGGGGGGCTCTGAATATATGGTAAGATATTTTACATTCAACGGCAACATTGCATCAGAAAGTCGAAGACTCCGGAAGCGGATATCTTTTTTTCTCTCTCTCTCTCCTCTTTCCCACCAAACAACGGTTTGCACCTTGGCCCATCAAAAAAATACCTATACGCAGCAAATTTCAGTTCGTATTGTTTTGACTTCTTTCGCAATAGTATAAAAGACACATAAAGCATCCTGTATCTATAGAAAATTAAACCTGGTAAAACAAACCTCTCGATTTTCATGAGCCTAAATCAGCTAAATATACGATGCCATGCAACGTCCAATTTTTACAAGGATGTAAGTGGTGGTTAATATGATTATATCAAGCCTATATATTGTTGCATTTCCAATTGATTGAAGATATACATATGAATTTTTTCCTAGTCGAACGACTTTTCATCATGCGAGGAACAACTATTCGTATTCACTGAATGTCCATGTGCTTACATAAAAATTTCAGGCGCATTGACTTTTTTTTAGGCACAACGTATGGCGATCGTCGGTTTTAATTGCCGCATCCCTACTAGCAGAACAAATTTTTGTTTTTCTGAGAAAAGTATAAAAAACACATATCTGTTATCTAAATGGTAGTTTTATATAAAATACGTGTAACGCTTATAAAAAAAAAAAAAATCAAAGTTCAGACCTGACCATAATATATGAAAAATGATAAAAGCCAGATGAGGTAAATTTTTTTTTACGGAATTTTTTTTTATTTTTTCATATAGGTAACGCATGCATACGAAAGTGTTAAAAGTGAACATTTTTATGTAACTACTAGCGACCCTTACGTGCTTCGCACGCAGCAGTTTATGCAGACTGAATGATAGGAGAAAAAATACGGCGATCCTCGGATTCAGCTGCCAAAATTACACAAGAGCCATTTATCGCATTCTTATTCAAGTTTCCTGTCTGTTCTTACCATCAATATTTTTTCGGATCCTTTTCGCCCTTATAACGTCATATAAATCTCATCCCATTGTTATATGCGTCAGAGAAGAGAGGAAAATTTTATTTCTCACACAACAAGTGGAGTTATTCCCACTCAATTCATGACGCTGCAGCCGAAAATGCGATCCTCGTTTTCTTCCAAAACCTTCGGAAATATCAATATCCCAAAAAGAGGGAATTTTTTGAGCTGAAAATCTATTTTTCAAAAATTTAGTAGATTTTAAAGGATAAATAAGATCATTTTCGGATTCAGAGGCAAAAATTGAGTGAGAGTCAGCCACTAGTTACCAGAGAAATTTTTTTCCTTATTTCCTTTCCGGCGCAAAACAATCGGATGAGTTATACATGCGGTGTTCTATGGGCGAATAGGAGCACTGGTCCGGAAAAACCTCTATAATAGAATTAAAAAAGAAACTTTAATAGACATGCAATACTCAATTTCCTAAGTGATTTTGGTCGTTGGGGCGTTGGTCAGCGTTGACGGGGACTTGATGCAACTATTTAAACTTGATGGATGTCCGTATCGCACCGACTGAAATGCGAAACCACGTATCTCCATTGCGGTGCTTCAAAATTTCCGTTCTTATTTCATCCCTTCCATGAGAAACAATCCGAATTTACGACTTTAAATTTTGAAACAAAGCTTCTGCCATCGAATACGAAAAATCATGGAGAATTTAAGTTCATGATGACCAGCTTGTTGTGTACTTGTTTTGTATGGTCATGTCAATAGGATGACTGAAGAGAGGCTGCCAACAAAGATGCTTGATTGGGTTCCTCCTGGGAGGAGACGTAGGGGACACCATGTGAGAGGTAGGCGACAGGGGGTGTTGAGTGAGATGAGGGAGTGTCGCAACTCACTGATGACCTGTGGGAAGACCGAGCTTTGTGGCGATTAGGCGTCGTAAAGCGCCAAAAAGCGCTATAAAAGCGACTCATATGTATGTATGATGACCAGCTTCCCCACGAAAAAATAAAGTTTCTCAGGATGTCTGCGACGTCGCAAATGGAGAAGCGTCGTCTCTCATTTTGCCCAAAAATATGTATGTACAACATTGAAGGCATTATGACTTTCCTCTCTCAACTTATATTCGTCTGTAACGATAAACAATGGGACGCGCTAGCTACGGCCGGCGCCTTGATACAACTATACAACCTCGACGGATGTATTGCATTCAAAAAATTGAAGGCGTTTTGACTCCCTGCTCACACTACCTGTAGTTGATTCGATTGACTGACGCGTTGGTCGGCGGTGACGGGGACTTGATGCAACTATTTAAACTTGATGGATGTCCGTATCGCACCGACTGAAATGCGAAACCACGTATCTCCATTGCGGTGTTTCAAAATATCCGTTCTTATTTCATCTCTTCCATGAGAAGCAATCCGAATTTACGACTTTAAATTTTGAACCAAAGCTTCTGCTATCGTATACGAAAAATCATGGAGAATTTAAGTTTTATAATGACCGCAGCTTCCCTACGAAAAAATAAAGTATCTCGGGAAGTCTGCAACGTCGCAAATGGAGAAGCGTCCTCTCATTTTGCCCAAAAATATGTATGTATACAATTGAAGGCATTATGTCGTTCCTCTCTCAACTTATGTTCGTCTGTAACGATACACAATGGGACGCGTTTGCTACGGCGCCTTGATACAACTATACAACCTCGATGGATGTCCGTATTGCGTTCAAAAAATTGAAGGCGTTTTGACTCCCTGCTCACACTACCTGTACTGTAGTTGATTCGATCGACAGACGCGTTGGTCGGCGGTGACGGGGATGCAAATATTTAAACTTGATGGATGTCCGTATCGCACCGACTGAAATGCGAAACCACGTATCTCCATTGCGGTGTTTCAAAATTTCCGTTCTTATTTCATCTCTTGCATGAGAAATGATCCGAATTTACGACTTTAATTTTTGAACCAAAGCTTCTGCTATCAAATACGAAAAATCATGGAGAATTTAAGTTTTATGATGACCGCAGCTTCCCTACGAAAAAATACAGTTTCTCAGGAAGTCTGCAACGTCGCAAATGGAGAAGCGTCGTATCTCATTTTTCCCAAAAATATGTATTCCCTTTTCTGACTACAGTATATCTAATAACATCGCACATACATTGAAGAATCTTGCTGCTCCCTCAATTTCTTTACCTTTCAAAAAAATTTCTCTAACTGATAAAATCCTTAACATTCAATTCTTGAAATCAAACAAAAGAAATGCATAGGTAGCTATTTTAAAAGTCAGCTTTGGATAATGGCATCAAAAAATATTGAGGAGGGGGGGGGGGTAATTTGAAAAATTTGAAGACACACATGACACCTAAGTATTCTGGATAAAAATTTTATTCAGAATAGTAAAATTTCGAATGAATTATAACTGAGGAATAAAATGACAGTTCTTTTCAAAAATTAGGTAGAACTAATGTATTAGTGACCAAAGATGATGGTTCAGGTATTAGTACCAGGATGGTAGAATAGTGCTGGGTAGGTATTAGTGGATCGTCCACTTAAGAACCAAAAAATGAGAAATATTAGAGCATAATGCACATCATGTGATTTTAGTGGGTTGGTTACTCATGTGAAGAAGGTATGCAAGTTAAACCTCCTACGGTAAGATTTTAGGCAAACTTTTCAGAAGCTCGTAATGTAATTTTACAGCAGAACAGTTCTAAGTTCGATCCTTGAAGTTAAAGCCAGGACTTAATCGAAAAAATAAACTAAAACTTACTTTTTATTGATCAGTTCAAAATACTTCATCTCAGTTAAAGAGTCCAACTTTTAAGGAATTGTGTTGGCATCTTTTTTAGACATGATAAATTACTTTCAATCTCTGACTTTATTTGGAAACGTTGACTAAGAACCAATATCTTAAATTTTAAAGAACGTAATCAATCTAGGAAAATTAAACGTTTTTAAGAGGGCTTTGTCTTCAACTCCGGGATGAAACGCCCTCTTCTGATTAATTTTTTAAGCTTCCGTTCTTTCTTCTGATCTACTCGTTTTTGGATGTGTTGTTCTCGCTTCTTATCCTTGGTCTCCTTCTTTGTTTTTATTTCATCAAGCCGCTTTTTCCACTTCCTTTCACTTGCCCGCTTTCGTTTCGCTAACTGCTTGACGCTCTTCTGAACTTTGGCGGTGCTGTCTTTTACTTTTGCACCTTCTGCTTTGTAAAAAGCATTTGACCAAGACATATTTTCTTTGAGTCGTTGAGCCTTGTCTTTCTTTCCTCTTTCTTCTAAACTTGAGATCAGTTTATTTACTTTTTCTAGTTTGCCTAAAATGTGCTTCGGTTGCTTCGGACCTCCAAGCTGTGGTTTCAGTTCCCCAACAGAGTCGCTGAAAGCTAATTTACTGAAAAGCATACTGCCTTCTTCATTCACTACCACATCAGCACCATGTTTGATTGGAGCACGAGTTTGCTTCTGGGGTTTATTGTTTACCGTTTCTTGCTTTGGATCCTGATTGCCATCTGCACTTTTTGTTTCTCCTTTTGTTGAATTTGTCTTCTTCGGAGTTCCACCTTCAGCAGGAGACTTTCCTGTACTTGCAACATTTTCTGCAGCCTTCTTTCTCTTCTTTTTTTGCTTATGTTTCTTTTTTGGTTCTTCATGTTTTCGCTTACGACTCTCTTTTTTATCATTGGAACCTTTAACAAATCAATCAACTGATTAGGATCAGATAAATAAAAGATAATTATCACAGCTAAACTACGGACAACGTACCTTGATTGGAAGGTTTCAAAATTTGCATTGATACTTTATTTTTTTTTTTAAGGATGACTAGCCAACTCCAGTACTAATCGAAGTTGAAATATTTCTTGAACACTGGAAAAATCATTCAAAGATTCTTTATCAATTGCTTTAAAAACATATTAAAATCATCTATTAAAATCATCCGATTTTAATGAGTGAGAAGGCTTGTTTTAATGTTGACTCTATCTGCTTAGTTGTCTCTTAAACGGAGCTGACCCAGGCAAAAAAAAAGCAGATTTAAACTGGAAAAATTATACAGCTAAAACTTACGAATTTCATTGTGCTTCTGTAACAATTCTTGGATTGTACCAGCTCGATTTTTAGTGCCTTTAAAATTTTTTACATTTGTTGGCTCTGAAACACAGAAAAGGGAAAAAAAGTAAGAAGTGTGGAGGACACATGCCGCATACAATTTTTCATCCCTGACTTTTGATCAAGAAGTTTAAATTGCATTTTTGGGGTGGCCAAAAGTTTAGAAACTAAACATTCCCTGACTTTCCTGGACCTTTCATGACAGATTCTCTGACTTGCTGACCAGAGAAAAAATAATTTCTGTGCACACTTGCTCAACAGGTAAAACAGCAGGAAAACCAAAATTTGGAAGTTACAATCATCCCTTACCTTCTAATAGTTATACCAAACTTAAACTTCCCATCTCTACATGAAATGATGTGGGTGTGTTTTCATTCTCACTGAGAGTAAAAACACACCCTTTTGGAAAAATGAAAAAGTTCGAGGGACAGTAAAAACTACACAGAGGGAAAATAAGTTAGTGTGGAAAAAAAACTTTTGGGTGCAAAAGGAACAAAACTTATAGACACTTTAAAAACCCAAGTTGAAATAGATGCGCCATACTTAAGAAAATTGGGCATCTTCAGTGAAACTTGAGCGTTTCAAAGTTACTAAGTTTGCGGGATTTCATTCTCACCAATTCACTTTAAATTTCAGCCTACCTGGCCATGATGACAAGGTCTCGAAGAGAAACAGACATGAGGAAAACAACAAGCGGAGGAAGAAGCATAGAGAAAGAACCAAAGACGTATAATACAACCAAGACTAGATCAGATATTTTGGTATTTTAGAATTTTTTCAACCTCGAAATCGCAGAAAATGCGCCATTATGATATCGATGCAAGCGTACTATTCATAAACATCCGTAATGATATGCAAGAGCTAAGATTTTCTTTCAATTTCGTTTCAAACCGTGGCGCTTAAGCAAATTTTCTCGAGGTCAAAAAAAACTCGAGGTTTGTAAAATCATTACCTGGAGATGGCACGAAAATGATCTCAAAATCGTGGCTCTTATGCAAATTTTCCAGGGGCTAATGAAGAACATCACCTCAACATCATACAATTTTCACGATCACATTGCGGAAAATAAGGAACTTTTGATTCCGTGCAAGTTTTATATTAATCATACCCGTTCGTACCTTGAGATTTGCGAGAAGCTAAGAATTTCCTTCAATTTTGCATGATCAAACCTACTCCAGAGTTCGAATAGTTGGTCCCTTCAGATCCGCATGTGAAAACGTGAGAAATTAGGGGAGAATCATCTGAATATCGCCAAAAATGCGCGATGCTTCCAGCAGGTATGTAAAATCTTTAAAAATTGCGAGGAAATCATCTCAAAATTGCGGTGCATACATTAGCGACTTTTCCAGTTAACAGTGAATTTTTTTACTTTCTTTGGCATTCCGTAGCAACGAAAACCTTGTAGCTGGCATTTTTCATTCTTACCTTCCTGCGACTCAGAATCAGTGGCGATGATCTCTTTCTCATCTTCATCCGAGGAGACATTCCCTGCTTCATTGTCACTGTCATTGTCATCATCTTCTTCTTCTTCTTCTCCATCTGGAAAAAACGAATGTTAAGCATGATATAGAAGTGTCCACAATGCTAGAAAGGTATTTCTTGTACTTAAGTACAATAAATGAGGCTCTGGCAGGTCAGTGCACTGCTGCATTGAATTTTTCAACTGCAAGTAACTTCATGCATAAAATACATTATAATTTTTAAATGCGTATTTGTCTCTTGCACAATTTAAAAGGAAGGTGAGAGGTTCTCTTTTGGGTGCATTCCAAGGAGAGGACAGGATTAAAAATTGGGCTGTGAGGCCCCACAGAAATGGATTGATTCAGCACTGAGGGATTATCCCACATGAGGTCAGGGTTAGAGACACTTGTTGAATAAATGTAATTTAGATATACATGATTATGTAAGAAGTCTCCACCTTGCTTTCTAATTTGAATGATTATGCCTTCATTTTCAGTTGCTTATTTGGTCCGGGTCCGGTTGACAGTCAAGGCAACTAAACGATCAAAATATATAATTCCGACTTAATATGAATTGCATCTGGCAAAAAGGAACCAGCGCAACGACAGTGTAGTAAAAACGTTGCTTCTTCATAATTATCTAAAAAAAATTCCTGGAACAGCAAATTTTTTTTGCGCACCATCAAAAAATTGTCAATTTTACAGGAAAATAAGTGTATAAATTTTAATACTGTGCATATTATGTGTCGTTTTAAAATATAAGAAGTTGCACAATTTTGAAAACACTGTAATCACGCTGGTTCCTTCTTCCTAAATGCGACCCATATCACCCACTCAAATCGACAAATGCTACACTGCTTGGAAGAACCAGCAGAGCATGCACGGTTACTTTCTTTCATGAGGGTGAATATATCATCCTTCAGATTTCAAAAAGATTATTAAATATGAGTTTAAATTAAAAAAACTATGGCTTACCTGATTCCACAGGTTTTGGCCATTGACAGCGCGAGAAAGCTTCCGAGATGAAACCAAACTCCTCGGAGAAAACTTTCCGAAATTCAGATAGATTCATTTCTGTTGAACCAACCATTATCTTAAGTACATAAAACACAAAGCATTCTGATTATTAGTGAATTGTCAGAACAGAGAAACAGAGAAACAAACTCAACACGTGGGACGAAAAAAACAAGTTTGTGTTTGTTTACCAATTAACTAACCTCAAAATATTTGAATCCACGTGAGCTCAACCAACGTTGGAATCGATGAGTGTCGGCTAGTCGGCTCGGGCTCGGTTGCAGGCTTTTTTTTAAATCTTGTTTTTTCTGCTTTCTCATACTTTGTGCTTTGTGTTTATGTTATCATTTAATTTATTTATTGGCCTTATTGGTTGATTACTGTTCAGCAGCTTTGCCGCGTTTCATCATTTTCTCTCGAAGTTTCAACAGGCTTCAGAATTTTTGGCTTAACTGCGCGCCACCTGTTCAAACCGAATAGATTCTCATGGCAGTTTTTGAGGTCTAACAAGTTGAAGTTAACGTCTAATTCTATTATCGCCAGTATGAAACTCGACTATCCCGTCCCTCGACGTGATGAAACCGTCAAAGAAACCAAATTTGGTGTCGAGGTAAGGCCAGCTCCTTTTGAATTTCTCACATTGCACCTTCCAGCTAAGGTGCGAAAGGGTCCTTTCCTAGCTGATATCTTAGCCTCCGTTCATTCAGAACTCTACTTCTTCACAATTCAAACAAGCTTATTTAAATTTAAGTTCATTCTACCAGTCAAAGGCATGACGAAGCAAAGATCAGACACAGCCAACCAATCACGTTACGCTTTTTAACCCGTCATCTGTCCAGTGCTGCCGTTTGACTTTTTCGAAAGACACGCCAAAAGTGCATTACAAGACGTGTAAATGGTCCGCAGTAAATTTACCACATTATCCGCATACAGTCCGCAGATTTGAAAAAGCTCTACAAAAGATCCGCATCCAAAACATTTTTCAAAACATACACAAAAAGAGCATCTAAAGATCTGCAAATAGTATACATTAATTTTACCACTTAATCTGTAGATTTGGAAAAGATCCGCGTAAAAAAATTGTTTCATTAGCGAGATGGCAAGAATTGTGAATTTTGATAATTTCGAGATAATAATTTAAAAATCTGGGTAACTTCACGCGCGAACGAAGAAGATACAAAGAGGATCTGCTGAAAATCTGCATTTTCTTAAAATATCCGCTAATAGTCTGCAGTTTTACAGGATTTGCAGTATAGTCAGCAAACCAAAAATGGAAATTTAGAAGTAAAACTCCCTTATTTGGCCGCCTTGATTCAAAAAGATTTGAGTGAAGCTTGAGCATTTCAAGCCTAAGTATGTCATATAACTTGCCATATTTTCCACTCGTGACTCACTTTGATTGGATGGTTCTGGTCTCACAATCATTTGTCTCTAATCTTGTCGATCAAGTAATTATCATAAAATTGATATTTTACTTTAAAATTTTTAAAGGGGTTGGTAAACTGAATTTGGAATGAAAAAAGGACTTCAAGCTTGGATACTAAAGAACTGAAGTTAACAAAAATTTACTGAAAAGAAAATGGAAAACTAGGGACTAAAAATCTATGGGGAAGTGTTGACACTTCCTCTATCACATTTTATGTTAATATTCATCTTATCAAAAATTTTTTCATCTTCACATTCAATTGAATGGTTTACTTACAGATTCCAAATCCGTACTGTTGGATGGAGGATCCTGATGCGGAGGAAACCAAAGCATTTGTTGATGCTCAGAATGCTGTAACAGAGAAATTCCTTGAGCAGTGTCCAGTGCGATCCAAAATTAAAGAACGTTTGACTAATCTTTGGAATTATCCTAAGTTTTCTTGCCCTGCTAAGCATGGAGATAAATACTTTTTCTACAAAAATTCAGGACTTCAGAATCAAAGGTAAGAAAGAGGTATATTCAAAGATTTCTTGTGGCTTTCAATTTTAATAATTGCAGTATTCTTTTTTGAGGAATCAGCCAGTGGTTTTTTAACCACCAGTCAATAAATTAATTATATTTTTATGTAAATTAAGGATTGTCAGGTCTCCTCCTTTTCAGGATTTTTTTTAATCCAATTATTAGTAGTTTGCTATTGTCGGTGTTTCAATTTTAAGTTTTTGGTTGGGTTAATAATTTTAGTTTCTTTACTTTCAGTTTATATTTATTTACAGATATTTATTTTTTATTATGATAATTTTTGGTAATTAATTGAATAGGTATAGAAATGAATTTATTAAATTTCATGTAATAAAGTCCCCATTTCTAATAATTTATTGATTGGTATTTTTATTTTTATTAAAATTTTAAGTTAAGTAAGTAAAACTAATGATTTTCAATTTCATTAAGAAATTTAATAAGTTAGGTTTTACTAAAGAAGTTTCTAAAACTTTTTTTTAAAGTTGATTTTCTTTCTCGCATGGTAAAAAAATCCATGCTTGAAAAACCACTGGTTGATTCTTCACAAAAATACTGCAATTAAATTTTTAAATTTGATGAACTTTTTTTTATACTAGGTACTTAATCTTCTGCCAGGGGTGCAGAAAATGCTTGGTCGCAGACTGATAGCAGAGTAAATGTGAAGGTACCTAATAAAGGGTAAAAAATGTTAAGGCAGAGGGCATATACCAGCCAAGCGCAAAGTTTTTTGCGAAAGAAACTGTGTAACGCGCACTCTTAACGGAACAAAATGGTTAAAGATGCTCTTATATGGGAAGGAAACAGTGATGCACGCAAGTCTTGTATGGACAGTAATGTGGAGGCAACCTCAAAAAATACAAAGGCTGCCTCAAAAAATATGAAGGTGAAGAACTTTCTGGGCCCCCGTCCTCTAATTTAAAATTGGAAAGTATGTAACATGCACTGTAGTCCTTCAGTAGTGAATAATGTAAAAAATTGCAATTTACATGATCAGTGTTTGTTTTAAAAAAAGTGCCCTCTTACCAATGTTTTTCTTTCATTAATGTGAAGACAATTGACAGCCACTGATGAGTAATTATCCTCAAGTTTTGAAAAATATGTGTTTGGATCTCTCTGACCGCTCCAAAATATTATTCACTTATATATCACAGAGATTGGTACAATCAATTTTCTGGAAGAAAAGAAAGATTAAATGATTCACCTTGCTACACGCTAGGCAGGCAAACCAAGCCATTGTAATATCACTTTTTGTAATTAAGGTAATGAAATTTCTTATGAAGGTATGGTACAAGGAAAAAAATAGATGATAAATTCAGCTTGACATGAATGATTTATTTTTTTTTCCTGTAGTGTCCTTTATGTACAAGACTCCTTGGACGGACAACCTCGAGAATTCCTCGACCCAAATACTTTATCTGATGATGGAAAAGTTGCCCTCTCCGTCAAAAAGTTTTCTGAAGATGGAAAAACTTTTGCATATGGGATTAGTAAATCAGGTTCTGATTGGAGTTCAATCCAATTTAAGGATGTAGAAACAGGTAAGAAATTCTCACATTTTTGAAGTTTTATTTCGGAACATTAGTTTTGCTTTTGTCTAGCTCTCTTAGTCTCTCCAGACATATTTTTGGGTATCTGTGAATCTTTATGTTGTTGATTCTTTGCCACCAGTTTAGGGCTCCTTTGAGTATTTCAAGTTCAAGTTTTCCCTTTCCCCTCTTAGATCTCACAATATATTGGGGTGTGTTTCTATGTAGTCTGAAAATGCTCTCGAAAAGGTTTTAGAAAAAGTATACATTTTCATTACTAATTTGCCAGGATTGTCACTGTCAGGGAATCCAGGGAATTTATAAAAGTTAGGTAAAACCTGGAAATGTCAGGGAAAATGATGACAGTATCCAGGAAAAATTTTCAAGTCACCTTTACTTGCTTTCTAGAATGGGTTTGACGTTTCAATCAACTACTTTTGCCCGAAAACTATTTCTAAATATGCATTTTTAACCATCTGGCATATTTTCAATTGTCACAGTATTTTACCGAAACGAGCTCGGGAAATCGGAGAAATTTCAGAGAATTTCATGTTCCAAATTCTGTGGCAACCCTGTCTCTGTCTAGCTTTGCATGCTGGGGTGGAAAATTACAGTGTTCACAGGGTGTTAAAATTGATGTTTTCCGTGGAATCTAACTCATGTCTCATGAAATGGAGTTTGTTTCTAGTGATGCATTTTCCCCCCTCATAAATATCATTCTCTCCATCCTCTACTTTGGACTAAATCATGCAATAAAAAACTCATAAACTTGTTTTATAATTTTTCCAGGCAAAGATTATCCAGAAGTTTTAGAGAAGGTAAAATTTACTTCAATCGCATGGACTCATGACAACAAAGGAGTATTTTATGGGGTTCGTACAACTTTTTTATTTTCTTTCTAGATGTTTTTCCTCTTTATTTTTCAATCCTTTCAGATATTTTACCTTTGCTGTAATTATATCTCTCAGTCTTTCATCCCAATGAGCGTGTCCAGTAATTTTTAATCCATGCATTTTTAAGAAGTAGAAAGAGTACGCATCTCACAGAAATTTTCCTGAAGTTTTTCAAACAATCCCAAAATTGCATATTTGAAGCTCTCATTTAAAAAGGCACATCACCAAGAAAGCCAAGGTGGCATTCGAAAATATCTAGTACGCGGCCAACATCTCGATCATGTGTTGTCTTTGCTAACATGCGATCCAAATTTCGTACGCAACGAGAGGAACATTTTCGTATGTTACCCCGGCTTCCTCAGCAGCAGTCGAATACAAGCCCAAAATCTGCAATTATAAACTCGTTTTTTGTGGGCTAATATCGTTTAAAAAATCCAAGAAAATTCCTGTGAACTAAATGCACTGACTAATTTTCAAAAACGCACGAATTTGGACAAGCTCATTAATTCTCTAAAAATCAAGTACAGACTCTTTTACAGCTGAATGTCTCAATGAAATGGTTTGGAGAAGCAAATGCATAGCTAAAGAGAGCAAAGTTATAATTTATGAGACGATCGTAAGACTTATGTTGCGGAGACCCAAGCAGACACGAAGCGCGCTACACAACAATTTTGGAGTGTAGAAATGAAAGTCCTGAGGAAATTAGCAGGCTTTATGCTCCCAGAAAGGTACACCAATGTGTCAATTTCCGAAGAGTGCCGAATTCTAGATATAGCTAAGTGGACCAAGATGTGGCAGAAAATGTGGTCGGAACATGTAGAAAGAATAGACGGGGAGAGACTCGCTAAGATTTGTACGGTAGGATGACCTCATAGCTGGAGGCAACCCAGATGACCGCTTAAGAGATGGGCACAGAGCTGCCTTTCATCCCAGGAGGACCATCATGTTTTATCACCAGTATTTTCTTAATTCAGAGTCTAGATAAACAGGGTCTCAACCCCAGTCAAATGTTAGAAGAGGAGGAAGACTCTCTTATACTTAACCTTTTTCTTACTCGGCAAGGATCATAGAGCTCCCTAATTTCTCTTTACTTTTTCAAAATAATTTGATGAAACAGCATGAATAAGAAGAAACGACCTCAACAGCAAAATTTTTCGCCCCTTTCAATGTGTTGAAGATGAAGTATCTTTTTTCATTTTTCTCTCACTCAACAGGGGTATCCAGATCAACAAGGTAAAGTTGATGGAACAGAAACATCCCCAAATACACAGCAAAAATTGTACTACCATTACCTTAACACTCCGCAGTCGGAAGATATCATGGTCGTTGTATTTCCTGAAGAACCTAAGTATAGAATGTAAGTGTAAGCGCGCTATGAAGTATCTTCTTTTTTTTTAATTTTCTCCAGAGATATCCAGATCAAGAAGGTCGAGTTGACGGAACTGAAACCTCTGCAGACTCACAGCAAAAATTGTACTATCATCGCTTGAACACTCCCCAGTCAGAAGATATCATGGTTGTTGTCTTCCCTGAAGAGCCTAAGTATTTAATGTGAGTGTATGTGTTGAAGTCTGGAAACACTTTTTTAGCAGTATGGATTGTTGAGCACTAACCAGAGACAAGAATTGAAATCCAGGTTTTACTTATTCAACTGTATTCATAAGTTCAACATAATGCTGTGTTCCTTCTTTTCTCTTTTCTGCCTCTTGGAGCCGTCCGTATGAAGTCGGTGAGGTTTGTGTCCATGGGTATCTCCATTGTCATCATTCAGTAGAGCAAGATTTGAGGGTGTGAATGCTCAGCAGAGTGCATATTATTTTGTTATGTTACTTAAACATAAGTTTTGATTATTGTAAACTTAGAAATCAATCATTTTTATTCCCCTTTTTTTTCCTCAATTGCAATCCTGTGGGCGGGTCCTGCATGCCTTCATATCTTTATTATTTATAGCAACCTTGACTGATTCCATTACTTTAATATAATTTTTGTAATAACCATAAGAAGTGAGGGAGGAATACAAGCAGTCACAGTCAGTGCCATGAAAGTTTTCTAAGTGTTCACAGAAGCATTTTACATTGTAGATTGTTACAAAGGATAAAGAAAGGTCAAAAAAACTTTAAGGTTTGCTTTTCGGTACTTATGGACGGCTCCTTGCAGAACGATGTATTCTGTAGTGAACGCACTGAAAGGAAATGGTATCAGAACTAGAGTTTTTCACTGATACTTTCCTCGGGATCAGTATTTTGTCCGCTTTTGGTGGTTTTAGTCAGTAGAAAGTATTAATGAATTCGAAACATGTAAGTTAATAAAATGTGACAGTCTTTGAAAGCTGGTCCTGAAAAACTCAAAATTGAGTAATTGATACCAAAGCGTAGAAGAGTGCTCTATGGAGAATGCTGAAATATGTCAAATGAAATTGAAGTGATTGCAGCTTAAGATTTTCAGTTGAAAAAATGTTGTTCTGAGAAAAAAAAGCCACGTACATAAAATTCTATTGTGAATTCATGAACAACCTCATATCCACCTTGCACCGTGCACCTTTTTTACAGTTTTGTATTAATTTCTTTTCCGTACTTTCTGTGTTTTATAGAGGTGCAGAAGTAAGCGACTGTGGACGGTGGTTGATCATTACGCCGAAAAAAGGTTGTCAAGACAATCTTATGTACTACTATGATCTTCATACTCTTCCAGATGGGAAGATTAGCGGGCAGTTAAAATTGAGTCCTATAATTGAAAAACTTGAATGTGATTATGATGTAAGTTTTTTAATCTTTGCTCTGTTATCAAGCGTTTCATCTCTCTTATTTCCTGTTCAAGAGTCACTTGTTCATTAAGAGTGATTTTAATGAAAGATACTTTATTTAACATTTTAATCAAAACCAAGTGCTAATTTAAGTATTTTCAACAATCAAACAAAGCTTGGGACAAATCACTTGAAGAATTAGTGAATTTGGATAGAAAGAATCGTTTATTTGACTCGTGACTATTCATCCTGACTTTTCTCAATTGAATCTCTCAGTTCGAAAACGACCCATCTCGGAAAAATGAAATTTTTCAGGAGAGGATGGAAACTGTGTAACAGCCGAAAAAGGAGTGTTTCTATGTAAAAAAACGAACATCGTAAAAGTTCTGTCGTTTTCAAACTGAGAGATTCAATTTACTTTATTCTCAGCTCAATGTGAGTGAAGTGTTTGGTTTAGTATTAATTTATTTCACCTCTGTTGTTCTGTAATGAAAATCTACTGGCAACTATTTTTGAACCAAGATGAAGTTTTCAAACAATTTGGTGCACATAATGATATCTTGTACTGTATTTTATGTATTTATTCAGAAGTTAAATAGGACAGAAAAAGATAATTGCAATTAATACATTTGTTTTTAAAATGTTATTCTAGTATATAACAAATATCGGAGAGGATTTAATAATTAGGACAAACAAAAACGCACCTAACTATCAATTAATAAAAATTAACCTTAAAAAACCTGCACCGGAGAACTGGCAAATTGTAGTAGCTGAAAATGATCATGATGTCTTGGATTGGGCAACCTGTGCTGCAGACAACAAATTGGTCCTGTGTTACGTTCAAGATGTCAAGGTATGTCCCAGCTCCTAATTTCCATTATATGATGATGTGTTACTCGGTTTCAAAATATGAATAACTAGAATTTTCAGAAAATAGCGCCTTTAAGGACGGGCGAAGAAAGAGCCCGAACGGAGGAAATGTATTGAATACAATTTGTAAAAATAGGAGAATACATACATATTGACTGCCAATGACCGAAATTTTAGGCCTCCTGCAGCATTGTGTTTTTGCCGTTACGAACGTATAAGTTTCATTAAACTCTGCACTGGCGTATTGGACCCAGCAATTGGTGCTGAGCATTAATTAAGTCCCCAAAGCGCTGTAGGTCTCGGGCCTCATGCAAGGTACACAGATCCTTTGGCGCCAAAGAATCCAAGAATCGTCCGGCCCCTGGTGTTAAATGTGTCAAGAAAGCCAAGCTCAGAATGTATACTGCAACCCATAACGGCTGAAAGATAATGATACTGAGTCTGAAAGTTTTAAATATGAAATACGACATTCTTTGCAGTAAAATGTGGGTACTTACAAGGCGATGAGCTCATTGATTTCAATTTGCAAGTAACTGTTTGGAAATTATTCCTGTCGCAGGTGCAATAAAATCTGAAATGGTCATGTGCTTCGTCTACCATGTACGCAGCACCTCAACAGCTAACAGCCTGTACTTCCCTACCCTCTCTGCTTATCTAGGGCAGTGTTTTGCGAAAGGGAACCAGGCTTGCCTGTTAAAAATTATTGGCAGAATTTTTATATGTGTCTGCTTGAGGAAAACTTTTAGTGCTAACATTTTGATTTGAATAATTCATACCTTGTTTTTTTCCTTGCATTTGGTAGGAAAACCTGGCTGCAAGTCATTTTTTAATTAATGCAAACAGTTATTCAACCAAATTAAGAAATCACAAATTGATTGCGGTGGACGCACAGGTTGTAAGACGGTATGTTGGAGTTTTTTAGCCAACAAGCCAGCAACCGCTTGCCCAAGTCTCGGGTTGGTTTTCACGACCTCTCTGAGCTTGGTAGCAGAAAATTCAGGAGGTTGCGCTGCACTGAGGATTAACCCAACATGGCTGAAACGCGTCTGTAGTTGCCTTCCTAAATGGTTGTTACTAGTGTTGCACCAAACAGCGTATCTCTTTGAGGGAAAATCATGCTTGTGTGTGAGCTTTTTCCCTCTGTAGTGAGATATCAGCTTCAGGCTGAATTTAATGTACACTGGCTAAAAAACTCCAACATACCAAATTAAGAAATGCTTAGCTCAGGAATTATCTATAATTCTCTTGTCTCTTGACATTTTACATTCACTTAAACTTTTTTTTATCAGAAAAGCTTGTTTAATTTCATAAGTTCCCTTGATTGAACTCCCGAATTTTTTGTTGCAGAGTGTGTTAAAAGTGCATGATTTGCAAACCGGCAAATTTCTTCAGCAGTTACCTCTTGATATGGGCACGATTACCGGATTTTCTGGAGAAAAGAAGTATGCAGAAGTTTTTTACCAGTTCACATCTTTTCTGACTCCCGGAATTATTTACGTATGTGATCTCAGCCAACCTGAATTCAAACCTAAGGTAACGTATTACTTCTAATTGGATTCTTTTTTACACAATCTAGACAACAAAATCATTCAATCTTGTAATCATTCAAGTATTTACATAACATTAAGCGACTTTCACAACGCAGCCTTGCGCTCTGCGACGCCCAATCGCCATTGCCCCCTATTCTCCAAGAAATCATCAGGCAAATGGCACCTCCTGATCTCCTCCTCCACTCCTTGTTGCCAACCTTTCACAGGACGTCCACGCTGTCATTCAAGTATTTTCCCACTCAAAAAGTACCCCCATGAGAAATTCATTAATATGTAATATTTTGTGGAATGTTTGTCCCCAAATTTGAAAAGAATTGTTCATTTGCAGTCTTGTAGCTGTCTTAATGCTGATGCTCATTTTTCAGATTATAAATTTCTATTGTTAATTTTCAATTTAATTTCAACTTATTTTTAATTTTTTTTTTTTTTTGTTTCAGGTTTTCAGACAGATTGAAGTGAAAAATTTTGATCCCTCGCAGTATGTAATTGAGCAAAAATTTTATCCAAGTAAGGATGGAACTAAAGTACCCATGTTCTTAGTTCATCAAAAGGTATTCATCTTTTTTTGTACAGGTTTCTTTACTGTAGAACCTTGCTAAGTCGGAATGCATCGGGATCGAGGATTCATTCCGACTTAGCGGGGTTTCCGAGTTAATCGGACTTTGTATTATTTTGTGTTGCAATTTCGAATTTCGCGCCAAAATTACTCCACGTCGTAATACCGCGTCGGGCGCTCACCAGAACCACCGAATGAAAAGCTCTACGCGCCGAAAAAGACAACTGAAGGCAGTATTTCAGTCATTCTTCTAACTGTAAGGCCTCCTTAAATTGTTAGGAATAAGCTGTACAGTTTAAGCGAGTGCCGCGAACGTTAGACTTCTCCTGAGCGAGACCGTCTCATTGGTTGGTCGTTCACAGCTACGAGATGCGCGCGCCGGCTCCACACGCGTGATGCGCGCGCAGCCTACACCTGTCGAATCATCTATGTTTGATCGCGTGAAATATAGGTATCGAACGCCGAGCGCGGCGCATTATGCGCCAGATTGCTCGCGGAGCAGTTATTCGATGTAACAAATTAGGCACGCTTAATAAATTACCAATAATAAATGATGGAATAGCGCGCAGCGACCGGCGAGCATCAATCCAATCCTAGGAAAACGTGGCATGAGTCACTCTGTCGATCCTTCCTCCTGCGCGGAACTTGGAAGCCGACCGAGGAAACGGAGTGCGAGCGACGACTTCTCTGGACGGAGGGTGCGTTGATGTCACAGAGTGGAAGGGGGACGCAGCGTAGGCCGGACGCCAGAGGCATTGGGTTCATATTTGTGATTGACTGCAGTCGAGACATCCCCCGTGCGGCGAGCACGCCGAGCGCGGCGCTACCACGTTGCCCTCACATTGAGCGCGGCGAAACGAATTTGCGGATAAGTTAGGGAATAATGAAAATGGGAAATGGAAAATGGAAATCCGAGTTAGCGGAACTTTATATGGGATCTTTTCAAGTTTGGGGCCAAAAAATTTTACCGAGTTAGCTGATTCTGAGTTAGCCGGATTTCTTATCATTGCGTACATAGGCGAAAAACGGGACTGAGCCATGATTACCGAGTTAGCAGGGTTTCCAGCTTAAGCGGGTTCCGACTTAGCGAGGTTCTACTGTAGTTCTTTTGCAGGGTTTTCTCTGTTTGATTGAAAACATCCATAAATGCCCGCATGTGCTTGACATGAGAGTTTCCAATCCAGAAAAAAGCAGAGAACGAACGGTTATTCTTCAAGATTGCAATGGACCATGTTGTCCAGGACAAGGGAAAACCAGAAATAACTGGGACGTATCAGGGAATGAGTCATATTCAGGAAAAGTAGAGAATTTTTTAATGAATTGATACTAAAACCCGGGAATAACCCCTCTTCTTTCTCCCCTCTGAAATCAAATTACTCCTAAAATCGGTGATTTGTTAACTCAGCTTTGAAAAATCAGACAAAAGTTGAAGAAGTTTTTCTTTTTCAATCAATCTATGGAGAAGAAAATTGTGTTTTCTAAAAGAAAATCTAAAGGAAAACAAGTGGGAATCCTGAGTTTTCATCCTGGGTCATTATTTGAAAAGTCCGGATTTGAGCCGTCAAAAATAACGAATTTCCAAGTGGTAATCAAGAAACGTTGTGAGGACCTGCGCAAGACCTCCATCCTAGAGTCTTCGCCCCAAGATATCGCAAACGGCGGATCTCCCTTGATCTTTACCAACTTTGCCGAGTTTACGAACAGCACGCGCGATTGCGATTGGCCTGCATATCTTGGTTGTTTCAAGAGTACCACACATTGAAAGTTTAATAACGAAGAGGGAAAGAGGGAAAAGTTCCTAAACATATTTTCATTAACACAAAAAAAAAAAAAAAAAAAAAAAAAAAAAAAATATTAACAGTGTGTCAGGTGAGCCTTAGATACTAGCTTGACTGCCCGCGCATTTACTTTTAAATCCTAGGAATGCATATGTAACTGCAGGAACAGTCCAGCCATCATTCAGGGATATTCAAACACATGCTTAACAGCCTAGGCTACTATCACAGCATTTCATTGTTTTCTGTGCAGATGCAAGAACAAATGGAAAATTCTTCAAAAAATTAATCACACTTATTTGTCGACTATTTTAATATTTGCCAATTTCTGCACTTAAAAAAGTCATTTTAAATTATTTGCTTTTCTACTCCTAGTTGTGAATATTTAACTTAAATTATTCCCTTTTTGCTTCGCTATTTGTGAATAATTCCGTATTCGCTTTGCTATTCGTGAATAATTGGCAAAATTATTAGCTAATCACTTTGTTTGAAACATTCACTATTTGCACAGCCCTAGTAAAAATATATGATAAAGTGCGTTCGAGAATTTAAACCCTAATTCTGAACTTGGTGCTATTTTGCAGGGCCTGAAGAAAGATGGCAAGAATCCAACGCTTCTGTATGGTTACGGTGGCTTCAACATCAATCTTCAGCCAAGTTTTAGTGTCTCTAGATTGATATTTATTCAAAATCTCAACGGAGTCTATGCTATAGCTAATATTCGAGGAGGAGGGTGAGTCACTGGAGCTTTCCATTTCTTCACACTAAAGCTCAAGCCATGTGGTTTGTTTTAAATTATGTTTTTTAAAAAATATTTTATGAACTTCTTAATCGTTTGCTTTCTAGATGCAACTTTGACTCAATCAAGCGCAAGTCAGCCCCGCTTCCCTATCGCAGAATTTTATTATGATCAGGTGATGTTAGTAGGATGACAGAAAAATGGCCACCAAAGAAGATGCTTGATTGAGTCTCTTGTGAAAGGAGATGAAGGGGATGTTCAGTGAAAACCCTTGTGTCCACTTGTCAAAATGGAAGCTCAAAGTGAACCGATAAATACGATCTGTTCGCAATTGTTGATCAAAAAAAAGTCGCGCCGCTCTATTTTGAGATGTAACACTCATCTATCGCATCAAGTCCCGACTTGGAGCCATTTATCGTTGAAATCGATTCACTTTGAGCTTCCATTTTGACACCATTTTGATGAGTGGAGACTACGCTATTGGGTGACAACAGGGAGTTTTGCATTGAATAAGGCAGTTGCAACTCCTGGAGGAGCTTTGGGAGGATAGGGGACTGTGACAGGAGAGTACTTAGAAAGCAACTTTTATGCATGCATGGTTAGTTAGTGGTATGAATATAATTATGTAATCTGCTCGGTGTTGATTTTTCATAAATAATTTTTCATGTTGATAATTTCTTCTTTTTTTCTCTCTCCCTTTTTTGGTTGTAGTGAGTATGGTGAGAAATGGCAAAATGGAGGAAGACTTCTGAATAAACAAAATACTTTTGATGACTTCATTGCTGCTGGAGAGTACCTAATTCGGGAGAACTACACATCGACTCCCTACTTGTCAATACAGGGAGGCTCAAATGGAGGGCTCTTAGTAGCTGCATGCATTAACCAGCGTCCAGATTTGTTTGGAGCAGCTATAATTCAATGCGGGTATGTATTTCTCATTATAGAATAACCAATAAAGAATTCTGCCTGTTGAGGCTTTTGTTGAATCTCCAAAATTAAAAGAAAGTGCCAAAAATTTCAGATCGTTCGTATTTATTTAAATTCGATAAGAAAAAAAGTTGAGTCTCTGGAGGGAAAAACGACTCCATCAAATCATTGCTATGGTTCAGGCAAAAGCCACAAGCAAAGAGAAATAAGGAAGGAGCAAAAAAATTTCATTTTCATGTCTGATGAAAGATGTTTTCTCTCAAAAAGCACAGAAATATTCAGCAGTATTTGACCCATCGACTTATGATTTATTGACCCTGATCCGGGCCAGGAATTACTATTTAATTTGGCGAAAATCAGTAACTTTGAACACTTCAAAATAATCCTAAAACTCCTTCTCTGTGGTTAAAAATCAATATAATAAGCATTCAAAATACAACATTTGAGAAAAATGATGTAAACATAACGTAAAATAATTTTTTTATCGTTATTTATTGCTGTCAAAGTCACAAAAACTTCAGAAGTAGCAAAAATCAGAAAATTTTAAGGTTATTTCATGTTCAAATGTACATTAATATGAAAATACCATAACAAAGCAAGAAATTACCGTACACAATAAGACATAGGTTGGTCATACTACTCATATAAACATTGATGAGAATAATATCTGCTGGAGAATCGCTGAAGTAATGCAAACAATCGACGGATGGTTCCCAGCCGTCTCCTCAAATCTTGCCCAGTGCAGCGCGGACGGCTGGAAACCGTCAGTTTAAGTTACTGGGTTAAATTTATGGGATTTCCTAAGGACTTTAGAGAAGTAATTGCTGAATTTTCTTTCCATTTTAGGGTTCTAGATATGCTACACTTTCACAAATTTACTATTGGATACGCTTGGACCTCTGATTATGGAGACCCTGATGAAGAAAAATTCTTTCACTATATTCGTCAGTATTCTCCGTTGCACAATGTGAAGTTACCAGGTGAAAATGTGCAGGTATGAATGAAGTGTTTGTATCTATTTAAAAAAGTACGGGTCAAACAAATTTTGATAGGAGACAAATAAACTACAGTAAGACTTCGATTTATCGGATTTCACGGGACTGGAAGCCGAAACCGTTAAATCGTGAAATCCGTTAAATCGCGATCCGATAATTCTAGATCTTACTGTTGTAAGAAATTTTAAGAAAGACATGGAAATCAAAGAGAATTTTGATCCATGACTTGATCAGCTGATCATTACTGTATGAAAATTTTAAATTTGAAAAAATGTATTTTTGTCCGTAGAGCTTGGTCCCCACATTCAAAATTAGCCTTTCAAAATGGGTCATCAGTGTGACTGTCGAGTCTTTCAGATCAAAATTATGAGGTGCCGATACTTTTTGATTAACTTAAATCGCAAATTGAGCGTTGCATGAATGTCTTTTGATTTTGTACTCGCAATTTATGTTGATTAAAACTCAGAGGCGCCTCTTAATATTGACAACACTCAACAGTCGCATCAATGACTGATTTCGATGGGCTCATTCTGATCATGGAAACCAATCTTAGGAAACAGCATAATGAATCAAAATATGGGGACTGAAACAGTTAGACCAGAAAATTGCTGTTGCGCTACTGAGTGCCTCATAATATGCAAGCAGACACCACAATTATCCTCTGAGAAGTTTTCTGAATTTGATTCAGTGAACAATATATATTTTGGAGGAAAACGCATGCTACAAACTCGTATTTACATTTTTGAAGATAAGATATTTGGTGGGTTTTTTTTTCTTCTTCATTGTCTCGCAAAACTATAGGATAGATACATTGTTAACATTCTTATGAAACTCTGGAATGTCAAATACACTAAAAATAAGAGAAATTAATAGAGCCAGTGTGTTTCCCAATAATCTTTCCAAAATATATTTGATTAATGTCAAAATGTATTTTTCCATTGTGAACAGTACCCTGCCACGCTCCTGCTCACAGCTGACCATGACGATCGAGTTGTCCCGTTACACTCCCTCAAATTCGTTGCCACTCTCCAAGAAACTGTTCGCAACCACCCTGCTCAGGTAAATCTTGTGCAACTGAGAATAGAATGACCTCAAGAAAGATTATCTGCAACCTTATTACTTTCTGTATACAATTTTCTGTCAGTGAGAAAAAAGTATTGGTGTCTTATGGCAAAATGCAATCTAGCTTATCTACAGCGAAGTCAATTTTATTAAGTCAATTTTTTTTACAATTATTGTTGCCTATCATTGACAAGTTTGTTTTTTTTCTTATTTAAGTTTAAATGGAACGAATACTTTTTTATTGGTAGGGGGGGGGGGGGGGGGGTGTTTCTCGGTTTTAATCATTGAATGCTTTGAAAATAAAATTTAGAATCAAATGATGCATGTTTATAATGAACCTGCTTCATTTTATCAAGAAAACTCTGCATCTTTAGCTCTCAATTTTAGCATGTATTCACATTCAGGGCAGCAGGTATTCTAAGTAAAATTCTGTTTCTAGCCCTTCACATTTCATATTTGTGATCGGATTTGTAAAGAGGAACCATAGAGTACATAGAGTCGTAATGTAATTGGGAGAGCTGGCGCCACTTTTAAGCATTTTCCATGTCCCGAATTCCGAGACTCCTGTGTGACGCCGGGTCACTTTTTCGATACATAATCGATTGTTTGCAATACACGGGTACCCGGCCATCCAATGTAAACAAAGAAGATAGGAATCACCACGTATTCCACACCGCCATTTTGGATCGAACATGTATCGAAAAAGTGACCCGAACTCGGCGCACACCGGGCTCGGAACTCGTCGTGCAGAACATGGCGCCAGCTCTCCCATTTACATTACGACTCTATGTACTCTATGAGAGGAACCTTATCTTTGGGAAGAAAATTTTCCTTAAATTTCTTCAAATAAATAAAGGAAGATAATCTGGTGCAAGTCTGTCTGAAAGCTCAAGAATTGGCAGAGGTAGGAGGCTTAAAATTCCAAGACAAAAATTCTTTGGTTGTAGGAAAACGTAGTGAAAGTTTTCCAGAAAGTTTGGGGGAAATTTTCTCCGGGAAGATGAGGTCCCTTTTCACAGATCTGGTCATACATATATCTTATCGTATAGTCATTCTCTTTTTTTCATGGCAACATTTCTTTTCCAACTTTTCTGAACGCGTATCTTCAATTTTTTTTTCCTCACAGAAAAATCCAGTGCTTATCAAAATAGAAACCAAAGCCGGACACGGAGCAGGAAAACCAACAGCTCAAGTTGTAAGTTATTTGCCATTTAATATATAAATATTTTAAGTCAAGAGAATTTAAGGTAGCCTAATCAACATGTATCACACAAGAACACGACATAGGCGAAAAAGGCTAAAATTGTTTAAAAGGCTAAATTGCCTATTATAGCCTATTTCCCCAGGTCGTGTTCTCGGGTGTTATGTATTAAGTTATTATAAAACTAAGCCTATTCACAGCCAGAACTGATATAAAAACGCACAAAAAATGGGATCAAAGCTGTAAAAGATTTTAAAACACATAAAACCGTACGTTTTGGGGCTAAATAAGAACCAACCCCTTCCTCAGCGTACATATGGTTCATTGTGTGAAGTGATGTGGAGATTGCTTTAAAAAATGTAAAGGAGGTAAAGAACATTCTGCAAACCCTGCAAAACAATGATGTCTTCATAGCGTCCCCCCCCCCCNGAATTTTAGTTTTAGAACAATTCTTTCATATTGTGCAAGAATAAAGTCCTATTCATCATAATAAGTCAATACAGTAGTATCTGGTTATTACAGAATTTCCCAGGATAGAGAGATGTTTCCGTTAATAACAGGGTTCTTTAGTTCCATTGTGAGCAGGTTCATTTACATGCATTTTCCTCAGCAAGTATACAGAGAAAATGTCCATTGAAACTTAAGATCAGCTTTTCACCATGAGAAATCTCCAGTATGAGGAGGTTTCTGTATTTTAGCATCCCCAGTGTCAAAAAAATGTCAAGTTAACTCCTGAGATTGTACATGTAATACACCCTCCACACTCAAAAAGTAAATAATTTAACTTAAGTCTAATTTTTCGTGTTTCTGTTTCTACTTTCAGATTGAAGAAGTAACGGACATCTTTTGTTTCATTATTGAATCCCTTAAATTGAAAGTACAAGACTAAGCTTACCATGCATTTACGTTTAACAGGTTTTTTTGTCAGCACTTTCTTTTGAATTGGTATAACTTTAATTTCTTGAATTGTCCACAATATTTTAAAGAAAAGTACTCTGTTGTAAACTTCAGCTGTGCATGAGAGGAGCCTTTTAGTTTGATGAAAGTATTGATTATGCAAGGACAGCACTGAAAAATTTCAGTATTATTAGAAGAATTTTTTGCCGACAAGGTAATTTCAAACAAAAATCTTTTAAATCCTTGTCATTGTAATGTATCTATGATCGGCGTTAATATAGATGTGGTGCACCTATTTACAAAAAGTCATTAGATTATTTGATTTTTCCTTGTTATTTGGAACATCGAAATTGCAAGTTTAAAAAGTCCAAGTTAAGTAAATAACTTCTCTAGAGCGTCTGAAGTGTTTTTTTATGATGTCATATCTACTTAATATTTAATGTAATTTTTTCCAGTAATGTCCAGGAAGTAAAAAAAAAACTTACCTGTGGATGACTTAAATTTAAAGGCACCCCATTTCCATGTGAAACAAAAACAGTGATATTTCAACTCGGCTTTTACGAGATTCTCTTATACATTTTGGCGTACAACAGAGCAGCCTTTGCACCTGTATGATTTCATTTTTTCAGTATGACTCCCTCAGGATATGCTGTACTTATTTTTTAAGTACAAACAATGTACATGCTCAGATTCCCCCCCCCCCCCCCCCCCC